AAAGATATATGTATGTGTATGCACACACAGAGAAATATATATACCTTTCTCTCCCACCTATCCTATTTCCAGGTGCTTTTCTCCCTTGTTCTTCACCTTTTGCTTCCTTTTTCTGCACTATCTCCACCTTTCCTTCAAGAGGAAGAAGACATTCCCTCAGAATCCATTCAAGGTAGAAATAATTCCATATTTCCCTTCCTAAAATTGGCCTTTTTTTTTTACTCTGTTCTATTTCTGTCTCCTATTTCACTCTTATTCATTTCTTTTTATGGAATTCAAGGATATCCTTAGCCTAAACTGTATATACAATGGAAGAGAAAAAGAGGTTTCCTCCTCTCCAAACAGACTCCCTCACATTTACCTCAGAAAGCGCTTATATAGGCGGATTGGCTTCGTCGTGCCTCCCATTGGCCGCCCGCACTGCCTATCAAAGAAAGGCGCGCGGCCATTGGCTACAGTGCAGGCGTGGGAGGCTCAGAAGAAGGTGTCGAGTGGGAAAACGTGCGCATGCGCAGATGCTAAAAATGACAACCTTTTGCCTTAGAAAGCGCTTCTTAGCTTCGTCCCGCCTAAACAACGCCGAGCCTCCCATTGGTCGCCCGCCCTGCCAATCATAAAATGCTTCGAGAGCAGATGGGCGGGGTTTAGCATCAGAAGCAGTCGAGCGGGAAAACGCGCGCATGCGTACCGCAGCATCCCACACTTGATTGGAATCAGCTGCTGATGACATCCTCTATTTGGATCGGAATGACGTCACGGGGCGCCCCCTGCTGGCTGGCGCGGCAACAACCTTTAAAGGAATGGCACATTCATAGTATAATGGCACATTGGCCATAACAATAACAACAACAACAACAACATAATGGCACATTGGCCATAACAATAACAACAACAACAACATAATGGCACATTGGCCATAATAACAACACCACCACCAACAACAATGATAATATAATGGCACATTGGTAATAATAATAATAATAATAATAATAATAATAATAATAAGGCCTTGGCCTTTGTAAGCCGCATCGAGTCCTTCGGGAGATTATTATTATTATTAATAATAATAATAATATAATGACACATTGGCCATAACAACAACAACAATAATAATAACAACAACAATAATATCATGGCACATTGGCCATAACAACAACAACAACAATATCATGGTACATTGGTAATAATAATAATAATAATAATAATAATAATAATAATAATAATAATAATGGCACATTGGCCATAACAACAACAACAACAATAATATCATGGCACATCGGCCATAATAGCACCACCACCACCAACAATAATAATATAATAGTACATTGGTCATAACAATAGCACATTGGTCATAATATTAATACTAATATTCATATTCATGTAATAATATAATGGCACATTGGCCATAATAATAATAATAATAATAATAACAACAACAATAATAATAATAGCACATTGGTCATAATATTAATACTAATATTCATATTCATGTAATAATATAATGGCACACTGGCCATAATAATAATAATAATAATAATAACAACAACAACAATAATAATAGCACATTGGTCATAATATTAATACTAATATTCATATTCATGTAATAATATAATGGCACATTGGCCATAATAATAATAATAATAATAATAATAATAATAATAATAATAAAAAGATCACTTTAAAATTGGAGACCAAAAGGTCCCACCGTGGTTTGGATCAGAAAAGATCTCTCCGTGGGGTTGAACCCCAAAGTGCACCCAAAATAAGTTCAGCGACTTAGCTATTGGTCTAAAACTCAGACGAAGGCCCGAAACGGGAGGCGCATGGCCATTCTCTTTTCCGAAGGTCATTTAGGGTTTCTTTTTTGTTTCGCGATGCAAGCAGCTTGGAACTGGTTCTGCTGCTCCAACTGATGTTCGGCAGGTCACAAGATGAAAGCAAACGTATCTCTGGGGAAACTGATACCGAAATATGTCAAAGAGTAGGGTTCCGGGGCATGGCTATGTTTTTGAGAGTGATCCCAAGATGTCACACCCCACAGTGTCTCCTGGCACACACAACTCCCATCACCCACAGAAAATACTGGAAGAGTTTGGTGGGCATTGACCTTGAGTTTTGGAGATAGAGTTCCTCCCTCCTTCCCTCACCTCCCACTTTCTCCCTCGCTTCTTCCTTAACTTCCACCCTTTGTCCTTCCTTCCCTCTCTGTTTCTTTCTCCTTCCACACTTTTGTCCTTCCTTCTTTCTCTCTTTCCTCCCTCCTCTCTCTCTTTCTTCCTCCCTCCATTCCCTTCCTCTTTCACTTCCATCCTTCTACCCTTTTGTCCTTTCCTCCTCTCCTTTTGGTTTTTCCTTCCTCCTTACGTCCCTCCTTTCCCTCCCTCTTTCTCCTTCCATCCTTCCCTACCACTTTTTCATCCTTCCTTTCTTGCCACTTTCTTCCCACTCACCCTTTCCCTCCTTCCTTCTATCCTTCCTTCCCTTTTGTCTTTCCTTCCTTCTCTCTTTCCTTCCTCCTTCTTTCCCTCTCTTCCCTCCCTCTTTCTCCTTCCCTTCCCTACCACCTTTTCATCCTTCCTTTCTTGCCCCTTTCTCCCCTCTCACCTTTTCCCTCCTTCCTTCCTACCTTCCTTCCCTTTTGTCTTTCCTTCCTTCTCTCTTTCCTTCCTCCTTCCTTCCCTCTCTTCCCTCCCTCTTTCTCCTTCCATCCTTCCCTACCGGTTTTTCATCCTTCCTTTCTTGCCCCTTTCTTCCCTCTCACCCTTTCCCTCCCTCCCTCCTTCCTTCCTTCCTTCCTTCCTTCCTTCCTTCCTTCCTTCCTTCCCTTTTGTCTTTCCTTCCTTCCCTCTCTTCCTCTTTCTCCTTCCATTCTTCCCTACCACTTTTTCATCCTTCCGTTCTTGCCCCTTTCCTCCCTCTCTCCCCCTTTCTCTCTCCTTCCTTCCTTCCTTCCTTCCTTCCTTCCTTCCTTCCCTTTTGTCCTTCCTTCCATCTCTATTTCCTTCCTCCTTACTTCCCTCTCTTCCCTCCCTCTTTCTCCATCCATTCTTCCCTACCACCTTTTTGTCCTTCCTTTCTTACCCCTTTCCTCCCTCTCTCCCTCTTTCTCCTTCCTACCTTCCTTCCTTCCTTCCATCCTTCCCTTCCCTCTTTCTTTCCTCCTTCTCCCTCTCTTCCTTTTTCTCCTTCCATCCTTCTCCACCTTTTCATCCTTCCCTTCTTGCCTCTTTCCTCCCTCTCTCCTCTTCTCCTTCCTTCCTCTCCTTCCCTTTGTCTTCTCCTTCCTTCTCATCCTTCCTTCCTTCCTTCCTTCCTACCTTCCTTCCCTTTTGTCTTTCCTTCCTTCTCTCTTTCCTTCCTCCTTCCTTCCCTCTCTTCTCTCCCTCTTTCTCCTTCCATTATTCCCTACCACCTTTTCATCCTTCCTTTCTTCCTTCTTCCTTCCTCTTCTTCCTTCCTTCCTTCCTTCCTTCCTTCCTTCTCCTTCCTTTCCTTTTGTCTTTCCTTCCTTCTCTTCCTTCTTACTTCCCTCTCTTCCCTCCCTCTTTCTTCTTCCATCCTTCCCTACCACCTTTTCGTCCTTCCTTTCTTGCCTTTCTTCCTCTTCCTTCCTTCCTTCCTTCCGTCCTTCCCTTTTGTCTTTCCTTCCTTCTCTCTTTCCTTCCTCCTTACTTCCCTCTCTTCCCTCCCTCTTTCCACTTCCATCCTTCCCTACCACCGTCGTCCTTCCTTTCTCACGGCTTTCCTCCCTCTCTCCCTTTTTCTCCTTCCTTCCTTCCTTCCTTCCTTCCTTCCTTCCCTTTTGTCTGTCCTTTTTTCCTTTTGTCTTTCCTTCCTTCTCTCTTTCCTTCCTCCTTACTTCCCTCTCTTCCCTCCCTCTTTCCACTTCCATCCTTCCCTACCACCCGTTTCGTCCTTCCTTTCTCGTGGCTTTCCTCCTACTCTCCCTTTTTCTCCTTCCTTCTGATATCGAGCTCTTTTGGAGGGTCTCCCCAGCAGAGGAGATCCCGAGGACTGCACCAAAGAGGGTCCTTGAACCTTGGTGAGGGCAGCGAAGCCAATTCCAGCACCAAAAATATTTAAAATAATAAATCCTCACCAAAGCGGAAGAAGTCGGCAACCGAGGTGTCTTTATTAGTGATTCAGCTGAGATCGGATGCAAGTGTAGGGATATTTCCACTACAAGCATACCAATACAGAGTTTACAGGCATTTTTATAGGCAAAATACAGAAAAACATTTCAAATTTCCCGCCCGCCTCTCTCCGCCCGGCTTCACGCTGATTGGTTGACAGCCTGAACAGCTGGGAGGAGCACGCTTCTCCGCCTCTGGGGAACCAATCAGCGCGCTTCTCTCGCCTCTGAGGATGAACGAATCAGGAGAAAGGAGGCGGGATGATGGCTGACAATGGGGGAAATGATGGGATTATCGCTTGCCAGCCAGCTGGAATTTGAGGCATTGTTTCGGCCGGCAGGGTGTGATTTTATTAAGAAAGGTTTTCCTGCCTTAGATCTGATAAGGAGTGTCCTTGATGAGTCTTGTGGAAGAAACAAACAGAGCCGGGGCGAGGGGACCCCGGGGGTCAGCCTCGTCCCTTTGTTAAGCAATCATGATGTCCGAAGAAACTTCCTTGTCTGCCAGACAAACTCAGAGAGCAAACAAAAGGATATTTCACTTGTTATTGTCCATGCTGATGTTTGGTGGCAAGGTTGGTTTCGGGGGGAGATAATGACTCCCCCTCAGGCACTAAACAGTCTCTGGTCACACTTTTTCTGGGGCAAAGAGCATGAGGAAAGGCAGGAGGGCAAAGAATATTTAATACATACATAATCAATATATAATTCATACAGAAAAGATCCCATCCCCATCCCAGATATTTAATAATAAAAATCTTTTTATTTGAAAGTTCGGAGCTTCTTTGAAAGAGTTCGTGAAAGTGGACGCAGCTTGCAGTCCAAAACAAGCAACAGAAAGTTGTTTTTCTTGGCAAGCGTTAGCAGGATGGTCTCTGAGTTCATCGGTAACAAAATCCACGGCTTGGTCCTTGGGGAACGATAACTCCCACCCAAGGACTGGGCCTCTTGCCTGGCCCTCTCTCCGAGGTCTCCTGGGGGCAACCGCAGCAAGTCCCCGGGTGCGGGGCTAGGCAGGAGCGAGCAGCAACAAGGAGAAATTGGCTGTTTGCACGGAACCGGCGAGTTTTTGACAATCAGCTGTTTTCTGTCAAATTATATTCTTTAAAACAAAAAGATTATTTCCCGGGCGTAGGGATCCAAAATGAGAAAAGTGAGATAGCAGTTTAGTTAAGAATTAAGCATAGAAAAATATGGCGTTAAAACGGAGCTGATCCGACATTTTGAGATTTTAGCGGATACGGGAGTCCGAAAGGGAGATCTCTGTATCCGCGGTTCCAATTGACGCAGATTCGGCCTCCCCGGGATGCCAGAAAGGCATCCCGGGCAGGCCCACGGTTCCCCAGAGCGTAGAAAGAGGTTTTTTTCATGCATTGGTTAGCTTAGGCAGTGAAGGACACAAGGTATCAAGCGGAAAAGTTAAAAAGTTGCAATTTTCAAGTACTTTTATTAGGGATTAGATACAAAGTCAGGGCTTGGGGGAAAGTGATAAAAGCTGAAAGCAGTCCTAGTTTTGAGCTGTTTGTTGGGGCACATTTCATCAGTTGATCCCAAACTTTGCTTCCAGGAACTGCAGAACTCTCCGCTGCAGTTCAAACCAACTTGAAGGCGGGGGCCTCCGCCGCTCTCGGGGTCACTTCCTTCCTTTCTTCCTTCCTTCCTTCCTTCCTTCCCTTTTGTCTTTCCTTCCTTCTCTCAAATACCAACCGTCCCATTGGTCTAAGCTGACTAATAAAGATGTAATTGGCTCTCCATGAAACTAACAACCAGGAGGACAAACATGTGGTATGGAACAAAGGCGCAATTACGGTCTTTCATGTCCTTGACCCTGAGCACTTACTTGTAGAGTGTTCGCGGGCTGATCTTATCTGCTTCTGTTTCAAGTACAGACTTCAAGGAGCTGGGAAATCACTTCTGCCCTGAGGAACGTAACTTCCTCTCTGCAGCAGCGTTTTCCTCAAATGTCAGCCTTTATTAAAGCAAGGCCTCTGCAAATCAGGACATCTGGCAGTAAATCAGGACCTATGGGACTTACAGTCACTGAAAATTCCCTTTTGAAACTACTTCTCCCTCATTCCTTCCCTTCCGCCCTTCCTTCCCTTTGGTCCTTCCTTCCTTCTTCCCTTCCATGCTTCCATCACTGGGCAGCCTTTCCTCTGAGCAGGGAGTGCCAGCATGTGGCCCCCAAGTTAGAAAGTTTGCCCAGGCCTGCTCTACATTCAAAAATGGAGTCTGAGGCCTGAATAGCTCCTCCCACAACCTCAAGCAACATAGACTTAAGGGAAAACTGCATACCAACACACACACATCTATATAAATAAAAATGTAATGTTCGTTTGTGGGATTAACATAACTCAAAAACCACTGGATGAATTGGCACCAAATTTGGACACAAGACACCTACCAACCCAAGGAGTGACCATCATTCAAAAAAACTGATTTTGTCATTTCAGAGTTGTAGTTGCTGGGATTTCTAGTACACATATAATCAGAAAGCATTATGAACTACACCAATGATGGAATTGAACCAAACGTAGCACACAGGACTCCCATGACCAACAAAAACACTAGAAGGGTTTGGTGGGCATTGACCTTGACTTTGGGAGTTGTAGTTCACCTACATCCAGAGAGCACTGTGGACTCAAACAATGATGGATCTGGACCAAACTTGGCACCAATACTCAATATGCCCTATTGTGAACATAGTTGATTTTGCCCAGGGGCGCTCTTGAGGCGCTCTTGGGGGAAATAGACCTTGACATATGCGAGTTGTAGTTACTGGGATGTATAGTTCACCTACAATCAAAGAGCATTCTGAACTCCACCAATGATGGAATAGAACCAAATATGGCACACAGAACTCCCACGACGAACAGAAATTGGGGGGGGGGGGGGGCGCCAAAATACTGTTTGCTTACCGTTGAAAATTACCTAGGGCCGCCTCTGTTGGCACAAATATCCCATACTCGCCAATATGGAATACTGGTGGAGTTTGGGGAAAATAGACCTTGACCTTTGGGAGTTGTAGTTGCTGGGATTTATAGTTCACCTACAATCAAAGAGAATTCTAAACTCCACCAATGATGGAATTGAACTGAATGTGGCACACAGGAATAAGCAAAGTAAATAAATAGAAGGGTTTGGTGGGCATTGACCTTGAGTTTGGGAGTTGTAGTTCACCTACATCCAGAGAGCACTGTGGACTCAAACAATGACTGATCTGGACCAAACTTGGCACGAATATTCCATTTGCCCAAATATGAACACAGATGGAGTTTGGGGAAAATAGACCTTGACAACTGGGATTTGTAGTTACTGGGATTTATAGTTCACCTACAATCAAAGAGTATGCTGAACCCCACCGACGACAGAATTGGGGCACAGTTCCCACAAAGAACCCCTATGACCAACAGAAAAATACCTAAGGCTATCCAATCCAACTCCCTTCACCAGGGCAAGAAATCATAATCAAAGCCCTCCTGACAAAGAGCCATCCAGCCAGCATTGTCCATAGACACCTCCAAGGTCATGTGGCCAGCACGACTGCAAGGAGAGCCCTTCCCTTCCCGCTAGAGTGGTATCTATTGATCTACTCACATTATCATTTTAATGGGAGGAAAACACAAGGGTTGTGTTGGAAGGGGAAGGGGATATTTATTTATTTATTTATTTATTTGGAACATTTTATATTCCGCCCTTATTTATTTATTTATTTATTTATTCACGGCATTTATATGCTGCCGTTCTCACCCCGAATACAATATATTATATTATTACCATAGCACAATATTAATAATGTATATTACATTGTACTATAACATTATACTGTAATATTATTGGTAATATTACATCTATATATATAAAAATGCTCTGTGCATAATGAGTACCTTAAAAACAAAAGAACCAATGAACGGAATCACACCAAATTTGGCAACTAAACGTCTCACTACACAAGGAGTGACCATCATTCAAAAATTATGATTTTGTCATTTGGGAGTTGTAGTTGCTGGGATTTATAGTTCACCTACAATCAAAGAGCACTCTGAACTCAATCAACGATGGAATTGAACCAAACTTGGCACACAGAACTCCCATGACAAACAGAAAATACTGGAAGGGTTCGGTGGGCATTGACCTTGAGTTTGGAAGTTGTAGTTCATCTACATCCAGAGAGCACTGTTGACTCAAACAATGATGGATCTGGACCAAACTTGGCACAACCACTCAATATGCCCAAATACGAACACAGATGGAGTTTGGGGGAAATAGACCTTGACATTTGGGAGTTGTAGTTACTGGGATTTATAGTTCACCTACAATGAAAGAGCATTCTGAACCCCACCAATGATGGAATTGAACCAAACTTGGTACACAGTTCTTCCATGACCGACAGAAAATACTGGAAGAGTTTGGTGGGCAGTGTCCTTTGGTTTTGGAGTTGTAGTTCACCCACATGCAGAGATCACTGTGGACTCAAACAATGATGGATCTGGACCAAACTTTGCACGAATACTCAATATGCCCAAATGTGAACACTGCTGGAGTTTGGGGAAAATAGAATCATTTACATTTGGGAGTTGTAGTTGCTGGGATTTATAGTTCACCTACAATCAAAGAGCATTTGAACCCCACCAATGTTAGAATTGGCCCAAACCTCCCACATAGAAAAGCCATGTGGGCCACAGCAACGCATGGCAGGGGACGGCTAGTTTAATATAAAATATATAATTATAATATAATTCTCACCCCGAAGGGGACTCAGGGCGGAGTGCAGCATATATACGGCAAACATTCAATGCCGGGACACACATTCTTATATACATTCATAAACATTAAAAACATTTATCAAAATATTAAAATACACCATTGAAAACCGTCCTAGTCATCTGTGTCAAGTCTAATTGGCCTGGTCATCTTTCCTATTGCCGCTTTATTGCCCTGTCCTGAAAGCTTGGTCCCACAGTCAAGTTTTGACCATCTTTCTAAAGGACGGGAGGGAGGAGGCTGACCTGATCTCACCAGGAAGGGGGTTCCATAGCCGGGGAGCAATCACCGAGAAGGCCCTGTCTCACAGAGGCAGCCCTAGGTAATTTTCAACGGTAAGCAAACAGTATTTTGCCCCCCCCCCCAACCAATCACCGATATATATTTTCTGTTCGTCGTGGGAGTTCTGTGTGCCATATTTGGTTCAATTCTATCATTGGTGGAGTTCAGAATGCTCTTTGATTGTAGGTGAACTAAGGCCCTGTCTGTCATCCCCACCAATGGCTTCTGCGACAATGGCAGGATGGAAACCAGGGCCTCCACGGAGGATCTTAATCTCTGTGATGGTTCATAGGGGGAGATGCATTCAGACAGGTAATTTGAGCTGGGGCATTTTAGGGCTTTATAGGAATGGAATGAAGCAGGTTTGGGCCACGATGAAAAAGGACCCGTCCAAAATTGCTTTCGGTGCTTTCCTGGAGTCAGCGCTTTCCTTAATGAGTTATTCCAGCAAATACGCCTTCTTTTCTCTGTTTTGATGCATCCTATAAAGATGGAGAGATATCCTCTGCATGTATATAGGTTCCTTTAGGGAGCGGAGAGGCACTTCTGTCAGACAAATTGAGGTTGCAAAGGAGATGTAGCCAAAAGAGCACACCTGGATAGTTCAAGCTTTAGGCAAGCTGGAGAAGTTGGTGGTGGTCCAAGCATTTGGGACATTGATTTACTGAACACAGGCGGCCCTAGGTAATTTTCAATGGTAAGCAAACAGTATTTTGGCGCCCCCCCCCCCCCCCCCCCCCCCCCCCCCCTGATATATATTTCTGTGTGTTGTGGGAGTTCTGTGTGCCATATTTGGTTCAATTCCATCATTAGTGGAGTTCAGAATGCTCTTTGATTTTAGGTGAACTATACATCCCAGTAACTACAACTCACATATGTCAAGGCAGAGGAAATTTTCAACAGTAAGCAAACAGTATTTTGGCGCCCCCCCCCCCCCAATCAATCATTGATATATATTTTCTGTTCGTCGTGGGAGTTCTGTGTGCCATATTTGGTTCAATTCCATCATTAGTGGAGTTCAGAATGCTCTTTGATTTTAGGTGAACTATACATCCCAGTAACTACAACTCACATATGTCAAGGCAGAGGCGGCCCTAGGTAATTTTCAAAGGTAAGCAAACAGTATTTTGCCCCCCCCCCCAAAAAAAACCAATCACTGATATATATTTTCTGTTCGACGTGGGAGTTCTGTGTGCCATATTTGGTTCAATTCCATCATTGGTGGAGTTCAGAATGCTCTTTGATTGTAGGTGAACTATACATCCCAGTAACTACAACTCGCATATGTCAAGGTCTATTTCCCCCCAAGAGCACCTCAAGAGCACCCCTGGAAAATATCAACTCTTCTGCAAAGGCTTACTTTGCGTAATGGGTTGAGCCACCCCTGATTGTGATTTAGATTAATTAAAAGCAATAAAAAGTGCAATATGTTCTGACATAAGAATGCCACAAGAATGTGAACGTACATTATTGTTGTTTCACATTATGGTTATTTTATTTTATTTATCGTGTCAGGAGCAACCAGACAGTTGTATTACATTTTTAACAAAACAAACAAACAAACAGACAAAACAAAGTTTGCAAGCTTGGTAGTTGATTAAATGTCCTTTGACCAGTATCTGGCCACTTGGAGTGCCTCTGGTGTTGCCGCAAGAAGGTCCTCCATTGTGCATGTGGCAGGGCTCAGGTTGCATTGCAGCAGGTGGTCAGTGGTTTGCTCTTCTCCGCACTCGCATGTCGTGGATTCCACTTTGTAGCCCCATTTCTGAAGGTTGGCTCTGCATCTCGTGGTGCCAGAGCGCAGTCTGTTCAGCGCCTTCCAAGTCGCCCAGTTTTCTGTGTGCCCAGGGGGAGTCTCTCATTTGGTATCAGCCATTGATTGAGGTTCTGGGTTTGAGCCTGCCACTTTTGGACTCTCGCTTGCTGGGGTGTTCCAGCGAGTGTCTCTGTAGATCTTAGAAAACTATTTCTTGATTAAGTCGTTGACGTGCTGGCTGATACCCAAACAGAGGGATGAGCTGGAGATGTCTCTGCCTTGGTCCTTTCACTATTGGCTGCTACTTCCTGGCGGATGTCAGGTGGTGCAATACCGGCTAAGCAGTGTAATTTCTCCAGTGGTGTAGGGCGCAGCCACCCCGTGATAATGCGGCATGTCTCATTAAGAGCCACATCCACTGTTTTAGCGTGGTGAGATGTGTTCCACACTGGGCATGCATACTCAGCAGCAGAGTAGCATAGCGCAAGGGCAGATGTCTTCACTGTGTCTGTTTGTGATCCCCAGGTTGTGCCAGTTGTTATTTATTGTTATTATTTATTATTTTTATTATTATTATTATTATTATTATTATTATTATTATTATTATTATTGTTATTATAAACACAAATTATTATTATTATTATTATTATTATTATTATTATTATTATTATTATTATTATTATTACGGTGATTAAGTCCCCCTCTTCCTAGCCATCCCTTCTGGTTATCTGGAAAATAGAGTAATGAGAAAGTGTTGATTTCTAGGCATGTTCCAGATCCTCCATTGTGATTCTTATGATCCAGGTGCTCCTTTCATCCAACTCTTTCCTTTTGATGTGAATAAGCCAGATCTTGATCTGTTGTTTTCCCCCAAATCTTTAGGGCACTGTGGCCCATCCCATGGACCTGGCTATGCTTCACCACTGGATGCCATGAAAGGTAAGCAGGGCTGATATTTTCTATTCAAAATCAAGTTCCACCTCCTAATAACCCACAAAACACATCCCAGAGGAGTTAGAAAATGACCAGAGACTCCACTTTTTTTGTTCTTCTCCCTCGTGATCTGTGTGTAAACCAGTGGTTACCAACGTTTTTTTGACAAGGGACCACTTGACTTGGGACCACTTGACCAGGTACCACTCTGACTAGGGACATCTTTGACCAGGGACCACTTTGACCAGGGACCACTTGACTAGGGACCACTTGACTAAGGACCTCTTTGACCAGGGACCACTTTGACCAGGAACCACTTTGACCAGGGACCACTTGACCAGGGACCACTTTGACCAGGGACCACTTGACCAGGGACCACTTTGACCGGGACCACTTTGACCAGGGACCACTTTGACCAGGGACCACTTGACCAGGGACCACTTGACCAGGGACCGCTTGACTAGGGACCACTTGACTAGGGACCACTCTGACCAGGGACCACTTGACTAGGAACCACTTGACTAGGGACATGTTTGACCAGGCAGCACTTTGACCAGGGACTACTTAACCAGGGACCACTTGACTAGGGACCTCTTTGACCAAGAACCACTTTGACCAGGGACCACTTGACCAGGGACCACTTTGACCAGGGACCACTTGACCAGGACCACTTGGCCTGGGACCAGTTTGACCAGGGACCACTTGACCAGGACCACTTTGACCAGGGACCACTTGACCAGGGACCATTTTGACCAGGACCACCTCTGACCAGGGACCACTCTGACCAGGGACCACTTGACTAGGGACATCTTTGACCAGGGACCACTTTGACCAGGGACCACTTGACTAGGGACCACTTGACTAGGGACCACTTGACTAAGGACCACTTTGACCAGGGACCACTCGATCAGGGACCACTTGACTAGGGTCCACTTTCACCAGGGCCCACTTGATCCCTTGACCAGGGATCACTTGACCAGGGACCACATTGACCAGGGATCATTTGACCAGGGACCACTTTGACCAGGGGCCACTTTGATCAGGGAACACCTTGACCAGGAACCACTTTGACCAGGGACCAATTGACCAGGGACCACTTTGACCAAGGACCCCTTGACCAGGGACCACTTTGACCAGGGACCACTTTAACCAGGGACCACTTAGACCAGGGACCACTTTGACCAGTGACAACCCATCAATCCCAGAATCTACAGGATGCAACCCTGCCAACCTTGTGCTGCAAAGGTTTAGTGTGAAGGAAAACCCACAAAGGGCTGAAAATGACTGCAAAATTGCTGGTGCCTCATGCACCCGATGTCTTCTTGTCTTTAAGATCGTAAAAGTAGATTTTATTTCCATAGGCCCCAGAGAAAAGCTGATATACGTACAGTGCATTTTAACCGGAAGTGAGTCCCGTCAACCTGACTATTTGGCCACGGTGGACGTAGATCCGGAATCACCATGTTATTGCAAGGTAAATCTTTTTTAATGGGTGGCATTTCCCAGCCCGTACCTGGTCCTTCTCTGACCTTTCCCATATTATTTTTCAATGCCATCTCCTCCCCGCCTTCCTGACAGGTTATCCATCGCCTGCGCTTGTCTTACCTGGAAGACGAACCCTATCGCTCGAGCTGGAATGTCTGCAGCAGCTCTTTCTGGGATGTCAGCAAGGAGCGTAACCGCCTCATCATCCCGTGCATGACCTCTGGCCGCATTTACGTGGTGGACACAGACTCCGATCCGTGTGCTCCCAGCTTGTACAAAGTAGGTCAAGGAGTCACACGGGGAAATAATTGGGGTGCATCTACACTGTGCAACAAATACTGTGGTATCCTGGGAGTTGTAGTTTGAGGAGGCACTGGTAGATTTGGACAGAGAATGCCATACAGTGTTCCCTCACTTATTGTGGGTGTACCATTACAGGACCACCCATGATCAGTGAAAATCCGCCAAGTAGGGATGCTATACTGTATATGTACTGATGAAGGCTTGATGAAAATACATAATACACATATTGGAAAATATATTTGGTATAACCATATTAGAAATAGGAGTTAGAAAATATATAAGAGAAATGTATGTATGCAATTGCATGGCCATTTCACTTCTTAAAAGCTGCAAAATTAGAAACGCCAGCATCTAGGAAAGGAATGTCTTGAAGCCTGGCATTTCAAGGGGCCGATAAGGTGTGGTACCAGGCACCTTATCGTAGGCTTGACTAATGAAGTGTCCATTAAGAGGCTTCAGGAAAACCTTATCTTAGGATGGATGGAGACACTTGCTATCAGGTCTGGAAGACATTATGGCACTGGAGTTCATTAATAGCCACTCTTTACATAGAACACTAATGAAGATTGACAAGGTGTTGAGTTTGAAAATATGCTATTGAAGTCAATGTAAAAGTAGAATTTTGTGACGCACATTGTGATGTCTGTATGATGCATGAATAATTATTTTAAAAGGTATATAAACTCAGCATTTCCTTTGTTCTGAACCCTTCTTTCCTGGCCTACCAGGGGGGTCCATATCTGGTTGGCGCCAACCGAGAATAAGGCGTGCTTTCCAGTTCTCAGGATCTCTCTTTGTCTCTTTTCCTCAAACCTTCTCCCTGCCATTTCAGTACTACCTCAGCGTGCATGAGGCATAGGACTGCCCCCTCTTAGGAGAGACTCCGCCCACTCCTCTCTTCCCCCTCCTCCCTCTCTCTCATTCGCTTAATCCCTTTGCCTTATCCTTCCTCTCCTCTTTCCCCCTCCCTTTCTTCTTTCCTCCTCCACTTGAACACCATGTCAGGATTATTGAGGCATGCATGTGTGTGTTTTTCAATGTGTTTCTATGTCATTCAAGATGGATTAAGATGTATTTCAAGATGGATTCTGTTATGTTCAATTGTGTATGAGAAATACTGTGAGAAGCAAAGAAGCAGAGAAAAAGTAACCTTGACAGAAGTGAGAAAACGCGTTCTCTGGCTGGGAAGAAATAGGGAGGATCCGGTTACAGCCAGAGAGTCTGATAAACAGATGGTCTGAAACTGTTTATGCTGTGCTTTGTAGTTCCAGATGAAAGCCCGCTTAGAATAGACGTGTGTAGATGTACTGAGTAAACTTTGTGTTATTTTGAAACTGTAAGACTGCAGAGTCCTGATTTTTTGGAATCCTGTGTCTGTTGATCTAGCAACCTCTTCCGCTGCACATAGACCCCCAAATTTTACTCTGACACAGGCTACTTCCGGGCAGGTGCCCTCACTTGCGCACCTGGTGTTGCATTCCAGGACAGGAATAATCCTCTGACTTTAAACACCACATAGAAGGCATGTAGCCGGGGGGGGGGGGGGCGATTCTCATGGTGGTCCGCAAGAAGGCCTTACTGGTACATTATTTAAACTGTTATGTTTATTCATATCATGATCTGATCACCATGCTCAATATATCCCATATGCATGGGGTATTGGGGTAACGATACAAAAGGTTTGCTAGGGTAGACCCTCTTTCACTCAGACTCACCCCCCCCCCCCCCGAATCAAACTCAGCTCCCCCGAAACAAAATCCTGGCTACGGGCCTGCCACATAGGAAATATGTGGCGTTTAAAGGAATAGGAAAAAACAAACAATCCTTTTATTGAAGATAAGTAAAAATCAGCAAAGTAAAAAAGCACTTTAAAGAAATAGGTAAATCCAATTAGGTAAGAAGATAAGCAGGAACAAATTAGTCCAAGATAGAGTTCAGCAAAGCCCATAAAAGCAGAGTCCACACAACTCTAACACAATCCAGAAAATCAGGAATACATTGATCCAAGGCTTAGGTAAGCAATCGTGAAACCCAGGAATCCAAAACCATGAACAAGAAATATCTTAGCATGAAACTTCAAAGCAAGGCTTCCATGATGCAAGGACGAAAACTTGGCGTGATTCTAAACGATGCTTCATCTGACTACACATCCCAAACTTGAGACTTTTATCCCCTCGTTAGCTAGGTCACTAGCGGTCAGAAATTGGTTTCTCTTTAGTTAAGGCTTTGTTATTGTTTTCTGTCAAAGCCTGGCAGAGCGCCTAAGCCATTGCACAGCTCTCCTGTTTTGACTGAACTCTTCTCGTCTATCTCTTGGCTTGTTATCTACTTGCTCATTAAATTTCTGCAGGTGCCAAGCTATTTTCATGTTCTCTCTCATGAGAACTCTCTGGTAACAATTCAGAAAGCACACCATCATTCCCATACCCCTCAGGGACATTCTCATGGGAAACTACAGGGGTCTCCTGGTCATTCTCTGCATCAAGATCACTGACCAAACCATGGCCATCTTGAAACTCATCTTGAACCTCACTGACATCATTCCCCACATCCCAGGCACCCTGATCCTGAAACACAATCACAGGGTGAACTCCAACACCTGGCTCCTCCTCCCCTCCTCCTCCTTCTCTTCCCCCTCCTCCTTCCCCATTTGCACCTTCCTATATTCCTCCTCCACTTCTCCCAGAACTCCAGAGAGAGGGAGGACTGAGAGGAAAACCGCAAAATGGAGAGTCTGCTAAAAGTAGCGAGGAAACACTGTACACCTTGCAAAATTACAACTCCCAGAACTCCGGAGAGAGGGAGGACTGAGAGGAAAACCGCAAAATGGAGAGTCTGCTAAAAGTAGCGAGGAAACACTGTACACCTTGCAAAATTACAACTCCCAGAACTCCGGAGAGAGGGAGAACTGAGAGGAAAACAGCGAAACATCTAGTACGTGAAAAGCGAACTGCGAAGTAGCAAGGAAACACTGTACACCTTGCAAAATTACAACCCCCAGAACTCCAGAGAGAGGGAGGACTGAGAGGAAAACCGCGAAACAGCTAGTCTGCGAAAAGCGAACCGTGAAGTAGCAAGGAAACACTGTACACCTTGCAAAATTACAACTTCCAGAACTCAGGAGAGAGGGAGGATTGAGAGGAAAACCGCAAAACAGCTAGTCTGCGAAAAGCAAACCGTAAAGCAGCAAGGAAACACTGTACACCTTGCAAAATTACAACTCCCAGAACTCCGGAGAGAGGGAGGACTGAGAGGAAAACCGTGAAACAATTAGTCTGCAAAAAGCGAACCGCGAAGTAGCAAGGAAACACTGTACACCTTGCAAAATTACAACTAACAGAACTCCGGAGAGAGGGAGGACTGAGAGGAAAACCGTGAAACAGCTAGTCCGCAAAAAGCGAACCATGAAGTAGCGAGGAAACACTGTACACCTTCAAAATTACAACTCCCAGAACTCCGGAGGGACGGAGGACTGAGAGGAAAACTGCAAAACAGCTAGTCTGCGAAAAGCGATCCATGAAGTAGCAAGGAAACACTGTACACCTTGCAAAATTACAACTTCCAGAACTCCGGAGAGAAGGAGGACTGAGAGGAAAACCGTGAAACAGCTAGTCCACGAAAAGCGAACCGTGAAGTAGCGAGAAAACACTGTACACGTTGCAAAATTACAACTCCCAGAACTCCAGAGGGAGGGAGGACTGAGAGGAAAACCGCGAAACGGCGAGTCTACGAAAAGTGAACTGCAAAGTAGCGAGGAAACACTGTACACCTTGCAAAATTACAACTCCCAGAACTCCGGAGAGAGGGAGGACTGAGAGGAAAACCGTGAAACAGCGAGTCCACGAAAAGCGAACTGCAAAGTAGTGAGGGAACACTGTACAGTGTTCTCTCACTTATTGCGGGGATTATGTTCCCGCAATAAGTGAAAAACCGCGATATAGGGACGCTATATTTATTTTAATATTTATACATTATTTTAGTCGTTATACACTATTTTCAGTCTTTATAAACTTAAAATAAAGTGAAGGAAATGCCCTTCAAGGCTGGAGGGAGAGAGGGAGGACTGAGGAGGGAAAGTGCCTCAGAGAGCGGCAGTGGCAAAAACCCGCGAAACAGTGAATATACCGCGATATATATTTTCAATTAATATTTTTTGAAAACCGCAAAACAGCAAGTCCGCAAAAAGCGAACCGCGAAGTAGCGAGGAAACACTGTACATCTTGCAAAATTACAACTCCCAGAACTCCGGAGAGAGGGAGGACTGAGAAGAAAACCGCGAAACAGCTAGTCTGCAAAAAGCGAATGGCAAAGTAGTGAGGGAACACTGTACACCTTGCAAAATTACAACTCCCAGAACTCCGGAGAGAGGGAGGACTGAGAGGAAAACAGCGAAACATCTAGTCCGTGAAAAGCGAACCGCAAAGTAGCAAGGAAACACTGTACACCTTGCAAAATTACAACTCCCAGAACTCCGGAGAGAGGGAGGACTGAGAGGAAAATCGCAAAACAGCTAGTCAGCAAAAAGCGAACCGCGAAGTAGCAAGGAAACACTGTACACCTTGCAAAATTATAACTCCCAGAACTCCATAGCATTGAGCCATGGTGATCAAGATGATATGTTTTCTCTCTCTCCGACCCTTTGGCAGGTCATCGAACGACAAGAAATCATCAGGAAAACCAACTTGAGTTTCTTGTACAGTTCACATTGCTCAGGCGACGGGGAAATTATGGTCAGCGCCATTGGAGATGCATTCGGAAACATAACAGGTACTGGACTCATAGATGCCCATTTGGGAATACAAATAGCCCTCCACAATACGCAAAAACCACAAAAAAACCCTCATAAAAAATAATATTGCCCTTTGCAAGCACATTGCCTTCTGACCCCAGTAGTTCTGTTTTTTTGGCCTCAGGTGGACTTCTCCTTCTGGACCCGGAAACCTGGGAAGTGAAAGGGACCTGGGAGTGTCCGGAAGATGGACCCATCCAGATGTGTGACTTCTGGTTCCAGCCGCGGCACAACGTCCTGATCAGCACTCAATCGGGGGAGCCCAAGTTCTATCATAATGGGTTTAAGATGGACAATTTGGGAAAAGGTGAGAGCATCCACGTGAAAGTGATCTAGCAGCTCAAGACTAAAAAAGAGGATGTAGTTCTAGACTCCATCAGCAGGAGTCCCGTGTCCAGATTGAGGGAAGCCATCGTTCCAATCTATTCCGCTTTGGTCAGACCTTACTTGACATAATCCTGGCTCTTGTTTGTCCTCAGGGCGCTATGGCCGCCACCTCCATCCAGATTGAAGGAAGTCACAGCAGAGTAACTTATTAGCAGCATGACCCAGCACCGGCAGCCAAAAGTGATAAAAAAAGACCAAAAACACAGGAGCTTCACACAGTAGCTTTACACACAGCAGCCTTCACACTGGAGCTTCCCACACGATGGTCTTCAACCTGGGGCTTCACTCAGAGATGCTTCTCATACTGAGGCCTTCTCTCACTGAGGGTTCTCTCAGACTGACACCCCTCTCACACTGAGACGAATTAACACTGAGGCATTCTAACACTAAGGGGTCTCTCAGACTGACACCTCTCTCACACTGAGAAGAACTAACACTGAGGCATTCTCACACCGAGGGCTCTCTCAGACTGACACCTCTCTCACACTGAGACAAACTAACACTGAGGCCTTCTCACACCGAGGGCTCTCTCAGACTGACACCTCTCTCACACTGAGAAGAACTAACACTGAGGCATTCTCACACCGAGGGCTCTCTCAGACTGACACCTCTCTCACACTGAGACAAACTAACACTGAGGCCTTCTCACACCGAGGGCTCTCTCAGACTGACACCTCTCTCACACTGAGATGAACTAACACTGAGGCCTTCTCACACCGAGGGCTCTCTCAGACTGAGATGAACTAACACTGAGGCCTTCTCATACTGAGGGCTCTCTCAGACTAACACCTCTCTCACACTGAGACGAACTACCACTGAGGACTTCTTACACTGAGGGCTCTCTCCGAATGACACCTCTCTTACACTGAGGCCTTCTTACACTGAAGGCTCTCTCCGAATGACACTTCTCTCACACTGAGACGAACTAACACTGAGGCCTCCTCACACTGAGGGCTCTCTCAGACTGACACCTCTCTAACACTGAGACGAATTAACACTGAGGCATTCTAACACTGAGGGATTTCTCAGACTGACACCTCTCTCACACTGAGACGAACTAGCACTGAGGCCTTCTCACACTGAGGGCTCTCTCAGACTGACACCTCTCTCACACTGAGACAAACTAACACTGAGGCCTCCTCACACTGAGGGCTCTCTCAGACTGACACCTCTCTCACACTGAGATGAACTAACATTGAGGCCTTCTCACACTGAGGGCTCTCTCAGACTGAGACCTCTTTCACACTGAGACGAACTAACACTGAGGCCTCCTCACACTGACGGCTCTCTCAGACTGACACCTCTCTAACACTGAGATGAACTAACACTGAGGCCTCCTCACACCGAGGGCTCTCTCCGAATGACACCTCTCTCACACTGAGACGAACTAACACTGAGGGCTCTCTCAGACTGATACCTCTCTCACACTGAGACGAACTAACACTGAGGCCTCCTCACAGTGAGGGCTCTCTCAGACTGACACCTCTCTCACACTGAAACAAACTAACACTGAAGCCTTCTCACACCGAAGGCTCTCTCAGACTGACACCTCTCTCACACTAAGACGAACTAACACTGAGGGCTCTCTCAGACTGAGACCTCTCACACTGAAACGAACTAACACTGAGGCCTTCTCACACCGAGGGCTCTCTCAGACTGACACCTCTCTCACACTGAGACGAACGAACACTGAGGCCTTATCACACTGAGGGCTCTCTCAGACTGACACCTCTCTCACACTGAGATGAACTAACATTGAGGGCTCTCTCAAACTGACACCTCTCTCACATTGAGATGAAAAAACACTGAGGCCTTCTCATACTGAGGCCCACTAACAGACTGAGTCCCTTCTCCCATAGAGACCTCTCACAGACTGAGGGCCACTAAGCGAGAGTTGAAATAATCCTGGATCGTGTTTGTCCGCAGGGCGCTACGGCCGCTACCTCCATGTCTGGGACTTGACCACCCACCGCCTCCTCCAGTCGATTGACATGGGTGAAGATTCGGCCCCGCGGGAGATCCGTTTCTTGCACAACCCCGACTCGGTCCACGGTTACGTGGTTTGCTTTCTGGAGAGCTCCATCCACCATTTCTTCAAAACAGAGGTGACAAGGGAAAGGGTGGCCCTGGCGCCATTCTCTGTCTCAGCCTTATGGGAAGGCAAAGGCAAACCCCTTCCAAGAAAAAGCGTGGGGAGAACGTTCACTTTTCTGACCACCTCACTGGTCAATTTGGTTTTCCCTGCAGGACGGATGCTGGGCGGCTGAGAAAGTGATCCAAGTCCCGAACAAGAAAGTATCGGGATGGCTCTACCCCGAAATGCCAGGTCAGTAACAAGAAAGCAGCCATTTGGAACTATCTATATCTATATCTATATATCTTTATCTATATATAGAAAAGGGAATGTTTGTATGTGGCGGTGTATTATGTGGCAGCTTTCTGATTGGCTGCCACTTTCACAGGCCACTGTGACCAGCACAGGTGACGGACCTGGACCAAACTTGGCACACATAACCCCCATGACCCACTTTATATCCTGGTAAGGTTTGGGGGAGAACGGACAATGGATAATGGGATTTGTAGTACTTTCAACCCCTTCGGTTCCCACAGACCACTCTGGCCCCCAACAAAAACCGAAAAAGACCAAACTTGGCACACAGAGCCACCATGACCCACTCTACATCCTACTGTGGTTTGGAGGAGGGCAGACCATGGATGATGGGACTTGAAGTACCTCCACTCACTTCCCGAGACTGCTGCTACACTCATCCAATGACTGATCAAGACCAAACTTGCCACACATAACTCCCATGACACACTCTACATTCTAGTGCTGTTTGGAGGAGGATGGACCACAGATGATGGGACTTGCAGTACTTTCACTCACTTTCTGAGACCATTGCGACCCTCATCCAATGACTGATCAAGACCAAACTTTGCACACAGAGCCCCCATGACCCACTCTACATCCTGATGCTGTTTGGGGGAGGATGAACCATAGATGATGGGACTTGCCTAATTAACTTCCTGAGACCAGTGTGGCCCACACTAATGACGGATAAAGAACAAATTTGGCAAGTTGGCACACAGGACCCACATGGCCCACTGGTATATAATAAAAGTCAGTGTTTGTATGTTTGCAGCGGAGTATGTACGTATGTGGCAGCTTTCTGATTGGCTGCCACTTTCACAGGCCACTGCGACCCTCATGAATAACGGACCTGGACCAAACTTGGCACACTTAACCCCCATGACCCACTTTACGTCCTGGTGTGGTTTCAGGCAGGATGGACGATGGATGATCAGATTTGCAGTACCTTCACCAGATTCACTTCCCACAGAACACTACAGCCCCCATAAATCACAGACCTGGACCAAACTTGGCACACAGACCCATCATGACCCACTTTATGTCCTGGTACAGTTTGGAGGAGGATAGACCATGGATGATGGGACTGCAGTACTTTCACTCACTTTCTGAGACCACTGCAACCCTCATCCAATTACCGATAAAGACCAAACTTGGCACACAGAGCCCCCATGACCCACTCTACATCCCGGTGCAGTTTGGAGCAGGACGGAGCATGGACGATGGGAGTTGTAGTTCACCCGCACCCACCGAATCCACCTGACATTTGATCTAGACTAAATTGGGAGCACAGAAAAACAATGCCTTTCTCAAATAACCTGGGCACTGCCGGGTCCCCAAGCTAGCAGTTTTATAAAGGTAAGCACATCCAGAGCAATGAATTGAAATTGCAGGGAAAGAGATTCCACCTAAACATGACGGGAAGAGGTGTTCAACAAGGGGAATAGGCTTCCTAGGAGTCCAGGGATGTTTCCTTGTCTGGAGATTTTGAAGCAGAGGCAGGAGGGACTGGATTGGGTCTTGAATTGGGTCGTACTTGGAGTTTCCTACGACTCAATGATTCTCCTCCTCCAGGGTTCACTATGAATATCGTCATTTCCCTGGATGACCGATTCCTCTACATCAGCAACTGGTTGCATGGCGATGTCCGGCAATACGATATCACCGACCCGCACTGTCCCAAACTGGTCGGGCAAGTAAGTTTGAAACCTTTTTCTATTTACATGTCTCCAGATGATGGATCCCATTCTCCCTTTCCTCTGGCCGGGGATGATGGGGACAGGGGTCTCCAATTTCTTCGGCCCTGTCGCTTTTAGTTCTCGACTAACCATGTCTCTTTGGGATCTTTAGGTGTTTGTGGGGGGTAGCCTTGAGAAGGGCGGTCCTGTCACCGTCCTTGAGGATCTGGAGCTGGACTGCCAACCTGACCCCTTTGTGATCCAGGTAAGGTCCGAAATGGACGACAGACCAGACAGATTTGGGATTTGGAAACAGAACAGAAGGGGTCTATTTTCCCCCAAACCTCTCCAGTATTTTCTGTTGTTAATGGCAGCTCTGTATGCCAAGTTTGGTTCAATTCCATTGTTGTTGGAGTTCAGAATGCTCTTTGATGGTAGGGGAACTATATATCCCAGCAACTGCAATCCCCAAATGTCAAACTCTGTTTTCCCCAACCTCCACTAGTGTTCAAATTTGGGCATATTGAGTATTTGTGCCAAGTTGGGTCCAAATGCACAGTCGTTTGGGTTCACAGTGCTCTCCATATGTAGGTGAACTACATCTCCCGTAAATAATTGTCAATTTCTCCCAGCCCCCTCCAGTATTTTCTGTTGGTCGTTGGGGTTTTTTGTGTTAAGTTTGTTCCAGGTCTCTAATTTGTGGGGGTCTCAGTGGTCTGTGGAACTCAGGCGTGAATCGGTTGAAGGTACTGCAAATCCCATCATCCATTGTCCATACTGTTTTGTGATCAGTCACTATGCTTGAACTATGTTCAATTTATAACAATGAAAATACATCCTGCATAACAGATATTTCCATTATGCTTCATAAGAGTAGCAACATCACCGTTATGAAGTCGCAACGAAAATATGGTTGGGGGTCACCACTATATGAGAAACTTTATTTAGGGGTCACGGCATTAGAAGGGTTGAGAACCACTGACCTAGAGCTTCAGAGAGCTTCTGTTCAACCACCTCAAAGCTCCCTGCCTGAGTGGTGATGGCACGATTGTCAGCGTAGATGAAACTCTCTGTCCCTGACCTTTCCATGTTTCCTAGCCTTTTTACATGTTTCCTATTTCGATTGGCATGTCCCCTAATCCTGGGTCTCTTTCCTCCCTGCTGTCTTTAGGGCAAGAAAGTCCAAGGAGGGCCTCAAACGCTGCAGCTGAGCTTGGATGGCGCTCGTCTTTACGTCACCAGCTCTTTTTACTCAGCTTGGGACAAACAATTTTACCCCGATCTCGTCAGGTAAGGGTGGCCTTGGGTGTGATAAGGTGACCGTGGGCAGAGGCGGCCCTAGGTAATTTTCAACGGTAAGCAAACAGTATTTTGGCACCCCGCCCCCCCAACCAATCATTGATATATATTTTCTGTTCGTCGTGGGAGTTCTGTGTGCCATATTTGGTTCAATTCCATCATTGGTGGAGTTCAGAATGCTCTTTGATTGTAGGTGAACTATACATCCCAGTAACTACACTTGCCGCACTTGCTCCCTTGCCTGGCCCGCTTTGGGTCCGAAGGTGTGCCTGTTCTCCTGGCTTTCTCCTCATCCATTGGGACCAAGAGAGAGAGAGAGAGAGAGAGGTGGAGATGCCCACCTTTCCTGAAGGTAGGCGCAAAAACAAAGGAGGGAGCGGAGGTGGGAGATACCTCCAGCCGGAGGGGGCCCTCTCTCTCTCTCTTGGTCCCAATGGCTGAAGAGAAAGTCAGGAGAAGAGGCAACTTTTGTGCGCACGCTGGGGTCTTCAAACACGCCTCCGGACCCGAAGCGGGCCAGGCATGGTGGCTCCGCCCCTTGGCCCACCCGCAGATTGGGGAGAGGAGAGGAGGCGGGTGGAGTGCCAGGGGATCGGGAAAGGGAGCCAGTCATGGGGAAGGGATCGAATGTGGAGAACGATTGAGCGCCAGCTCTGCTCATGCACCCTGTGGCCGAGTGGAGCAGGAACAAGAGGGGCTAAGCGAGGCTCGAGGGCCTGGTCCCTTTGGGAAGAGGATCACCTGGCAGCGAGGCAAGAAAGCCGAGGCTCCCCTCGGACTGCTAGGGCTGTTGTGAGCTGAGGGGCCGCTCCTCAAGTGGCGGTCGACGGGCATTTACAGAGGCGCCTCTGCGCCTCTGGCAAAAAAAAGTGTTCTGCAACCGCTTACTTCGCATAATGGACGAGCCGCCCCTGGCCGTGGGTCAACACACAACCTTGACTTCCCCTCGCATTATTTATTTTCCAGGAAAGGTTCAGTCATGCTCCAGCTGGACGTGGACACTGTGAAGGGCGGCCTTTGTGTGAACCCGGAATTTCTGGTGGATTTCGGACATGAGCCTTTTGGTCCAGCTCGGGCGCAAGAGATGCGCTACCCTGGTGGGGATTGCATCTCTGAGATCTGGGAGTAGTGCGCATGCTTTCCAAGTTGGCTTCATATCGGTGGGGAAATCACTCGAGAACCGGGGTTTATCCACCATAATTTGCAAATAAATTTGTTAAAAATCAGACATTGCGATTTTCTGGATATGTTTTCTCATGTTGTCTCTCATAGTTGAGGTCTACCGTAGGTGACTGTGGAGCCGTGTTCTTGACCTGCATCTTCTCCCACAGTGAGGGCATCGATTTCCAGGTGGAAGGCGGTCCCGGTTGGGGTTGGCTTGACGCGCCTTCCTCTTGGCATGTTTCTCTCTTTCACCCTCCATTCGTGCCTCTTCAAATTCTGCAGTACTGCTGGTCACAGCTGACCTCCAGCTGGAGCGCTCAAGAGCCAGGGCTTTCCAGTTTTCAGTGTCTATGCCAGAGTTTTTGAGATTGGCTTTGAGCCCGTCTTTAAATATCTTTTCCTGTCCTCCAAAATTCCGTTTTCCGTTCTTGAGTTCGGAATAGAGCAACTGCTTTGGGAGACGGTGATCGGGCATCCGGATGACATGGCCAGTCCAGCGGAGTTGATAGCAGAGGACCATTGCTTCAGTACTGGTGGTCTTTGCTTCTTCCAGCACGCTGACTTTTGTCCGCTTGTCTTCCCAAGAGATTTGCAGGATTTTCCGGAGACAGTGCTGATGGAATCGTTCCAGGAGTTGCATGTGACATCTGTAGACAGTCCACGTCTCACAGGTGTATAGCAGGGTTGGGAGGACAATGGCTTTATAAACAAGCCCCTTGGTATCCTGGATGTCCCGGTCCTCAAACACTCTCTGCTTCATTTGGAAATGCTGCACTCGCAGAGCTCAGGCAGTGTTGCATTTCAGTGTCAATGTTGACATCTGTAGACAGTCCATGTCTTGCAAGCATATAGCAGGGTTGTGAGGACAATAGCTTTATAAACAAGCACCTTGGTATCCCTACGGATGTCCCGGTCCTCAAACACTCTCTGCTTCATTCGGAAAAATGCTGCACTTGCAGAGCTCAAGCGGTGTTATATTTCAGTGTCAATGTTGACGTCTGTAGACAGTCCATGTCTTGCAGGCGTATAGCAGGGTTGGGAGGACAATAGCTTTAGTTCTGCGAGTGCAGCATTTTTCCATATGAAGCAGAGAGTATTTGAGGACTGGGACATCTGTAGGGATACCAAGTTGCTTGTTTAAGCAACTTGCTATCCCTACAAATGTCCCAGTCCTCAAATACTCTCTGCTTCATTCGGAAGAATGCTGCACTCGCAGAGCTCAGGCGGTGTATATTTCGTGCATGTGACGTCTGTAGACAGTCTACATTTCGCAGGTGTATAGCAGGGTTGGGAGGACAATAGCTTTATAAACAAGCACCTTAGTATCCCTACAGATGTCCCGGTCCTCAAACACTCTCTGCTTCATTTGGAAACATGCTGCACTCGCAGAGCTCAAGCGGTGTTGTATTTCAGTGTCAATATTGATGTCTGTAGACAGTCCACGTCTCACAGGTGTATAGTAGGGTTGGGAGGACAATAGCTTTATAAACCAGCACCTTAGTATCCCTACAGATGTCCTGGTCCTCAAACACTCTCTGCTTCATTCGGAAAAATACTGCACTCGCAGAACTCAGGCGGTGTTGTATTTCAGTGTCGATGTTGACGTCTGTAGACAGTCCATGTCTCGCAGGCGTATAGAAGGGTTGGGAGGACAATGGCTTTGTAAACAAGCACTTTGGTATCCCTACGGATGTCCTAGTCCTGAAACACTCTCTGCTTCATTCGGAAACATGCTGCACTCGTAGAGCTCAGGTGGTGTTGAAGATAGATAGATAGATAGATAGATAGATAGATAGATAGATAGATAGATAGACAGATATGAAGAGTATAAACACAATTGTCATCAGTGAAGGGTGACATCTGCCTTGTCGGTTGGGTCTAAGTTTTGGTTTACCTGAGGAGTCTAGGACATAGTACTGATGGAATTTTCTTCGGGGTTAACCTGGCATGATGGGAGTTGTAGTTCACCTACAACCTTATGCATTTTGTACGACGGGCACCCAAGCTAGTGTTGAAGCTGTTTCCCCTCCAAATGACGAATTAGTACCCACTGAAAATATTCCACAATCGACAGGGAAGAACTAAGAGTTACAACGCAGCCCAATGGCAGGAGAAGCAGAATGCCTTGTTTTGTGGCAATGACAACACAGTGCCACACGAGGTCGCATTTGGATTCTGCACAAGCAAAACACCAACTTGCACAAGTCTGACTCGCACAACAACTGCATTAAAAGAAATATTTTGATATGGTGTGTGTCCGTCCCAATGTATCTATGGCAAGCATCCTCAGGGGTTGTGAGGTCTGTTGGAAACTAGGCAAGTGGAATATCTATCTATCGATCGATCGATCGATCGATCGATCCATCCATCCATCCATCCATCCATCCATCCATCCATCCATCCATCTATCTGTGGAATATCCAGGGCATGATTCAATGTCCAGGCAAGAATCAATCAGGGCCAGTGAACACCTCCCAACAAAGGATTCCCCCCAAGCAGCAACAAGCCAGGCTTCGAAGCTGCAAAGCCATTCAATTATAATCAAGGTGGCCAATTGCAACATCCACACTTGCCTCCAACAGACAAGAGTTCTTTCTCCCACACTGGACATCATTCAACAGATATATAAACCCCACTTGTTTCCAACAGACTTCACAACCTCTGAGGATACCTGCCATAGATGCGGAGAAATGTCAGGAGAGAATGCTTCTGGAACATGGCCAGGCAGCCCGGAAAACTCACAGCAACCCAGTGATTCCAGCCATGAAAGCCTTCAACCACACAAATTCCAGATGAGAAACAATCCGTTAGCACCTTCCAACAAACGATTCCTCCAGGCAGGAAGCATCCAGGCTTCGATGCTGCAAGGCCATTCAATGCTAATCAAGGGGGCCAACTGCAACATTCCCACTTGCCTCAAACAGGCAAGAGTTCTTTCTCCCACCCTGGACATCATTCCACAGATATAGAAACCCCACTTGCCTAGTTTCCAACAGACCTCTGAGGATGCCTGCCATAGATATGGGTGAAACATCAGGAGAGAATGCTTCTGGAACATGGCCAGACAGCCCGGAAAACTTGCAACCCAGTAAGGAACCTTCTGTTGACTTCCTTCTTAACGTAAAAAACCTTGTAAACAGTTCCTTAACATAGTGCATAAAACTCACAGCAACCCAGTAAGGAGCCCTGTGTTGACTTCCTTCTTAACATAAAGAACCTTGTAAACATTTCCTTAACTTAGCTTAGCGCAGAAAACTCACAGCAACCCAGTAGGGAGCCTTGTGTTGACCTTCTTAATGTAAGGAACCTTGTAAAAATTTCCTTAACTTAGCACAGAAAACTCACAGCAACCCATTAAGGAGCCTTGTGTTGACTTCCTTCTTAACGTAAGGAACCTGGTAAACATTTCCTTAACTTAGCGCAGAAAACTCACAGCAACCCAGTAAGGAGCCTTGTGTTGACTTCCTTCTTAACATAAAGAACCTTGTAAACATTTCCTTAACTTAGCTTAGCGCAGAAAACTCACAGACACCCAGTAAGGAGCCTTGTGTTGACCTTCTTAATGTAAGGAACCTTGTAAAAATTTCCTTAACTTAGCACAGAAAACTCCCAGCAACCCATTAAGGAGCCTTGTGTTGACTTCCTTCTTAACGTAAGGAACCTGGTAAACATTTCCTTAACTTAGCGCAGAAAACTCACAGCAACCCAGTAAGGAGCCTTGTGTTGACTTCCTTCTTAACGTAAGGAACCTGGTAAACATTTCCTTAACTTAGCGCAGAAAACTCACAGCAACCCAGTAAGGAGCCTTGTGTTGACTTCCTTCTTAACGTAAGGAACCTGGTAAACATTTCCTTAACTTAGCGCAGAAAACTCACAGCAACCCAGTAAGGAGCCTTGTGTTGACTTCCTTCTTAACGTAAGGAACCTGGTAAACATTTCCTTAACTTAGCGCAGAAAACTCACAGCAACCCAGTAAGGAGCCTTGTGTTGACTTCCTTCTTAATGTAAGGAACCTTGTAAACATTTCCTTAACTTAGCTGAGCACAGAAAACTCACAGCAACCCAGCAAGAAGCCTTGTGTCGACTTCCTTCTTAATGTAAAGAACCTTGTAAACATTTCCTTAACTTAGCTGAGCACAGAAAACTCATAGCAACCCAGTAAGGAGCCTTGTGTTGACTTCCTTCTTAATGTAAGGAACCTTGTAAACATTTCCTTAACTCAGCTGAGCACAGAAAACTCACAGCAACCCAGTAAGGAGCCTTGTGTCGACTTCCTTCTTAATGTAAGGAACCTTGTAAACATTTCCTTAACTTAGCTGAGCACAGAAAACTCATAGCAACCCAGTAAGGAGCCTTGTGTTGACTTCCTTCTTAATGTAAGGAACCTTGTAAACATTTCCTTAACTTAGCTGAGCGCAGAAAACTCATAGCAACCCAGTAAGGAGCCTTGTGTCGACTTCCTTCTTAATGTAAGGAACCTTGTAAACATTTCCTTAACTTAGCTGAGCACAGAAAACTCATAGCAACCCAGTAAGGAGCCTTGTGTTGACTTCCTTCTTAATGTAAGGAACCTTGTAAACATTTCCTTAACTTAGCTGAGCACAGAAAACTCATAGCAACCCAGTAAGGAGCCTTGTGTCGACTTCCTTCTTAACGTAAGGAACCTTGTAAACATTTCCTTAACTTAGCTGAGCACAGAAAACTCATAGCAACCCAGTAAGGAGCCTTGTGTTGATTTCCTTCTTAATGTAAGGAACCTTGTAAACATTTCCTTAACTTAGCTGAGCACAGAAAACTCATAGCAACCCAGTAAGGAGCCTTGTGTTGACTTCCTTCTTAATGTAAGGAACCTTGTAAACATTTCCTTAACTTAGCTGAGCACAGAAAACTCATAGCAACCCAGTAAGGAGCCTTGTGTTGACTTCCTTCTTAATGTAAGGAACCTTGTAAACATTTCCTTAACTTGGCTGAGCACAGAAAACTCATAGCAACCCAGTAAGGAGCCTTGTGTCGACTTCCTTCTTAACGTAAGGAACCTTGTAAACATT